TTTTTTGAGACGAGTTCTCCCTAAATTGCTAAATTGGGGATGGGGAGATAGCTCAGTGGCATAAGAGCCTGCCTGGCAAGCACTAAGTCCTGAGTTTGATCCCTGGTACAAATAAATAAATACATAGCCCAAGCTGAACTTAAACTTTAAGTCTTCCTGCCTCAGCCTCCCTGAATGTTGGATTATAAGCGTGCACTGCCACACCCGGCTTTGACAATATTCATTACCAATTTACTATCACAGTTGTATCAGTGTATGTGTTTTTCCAATGATCTCATATTTTACAGTTGGTTTGTTCAAATCAGAATCCATCATTCAATATGTCGCCTACATTGTTAAAATCTGTAATCATTCCCATTGTTTTGCATGAAATTTATTTCTTAAATAAGCAGGGTCATTAGCTCTATATAATTGTTCGTAATCTGGATGTGGCTGATGGCATCTTCGCAGTGCCATTCAAGATGTCTTACTTTCCCAGGATCTCCTATAAACTGGAATCTAGATCACATTCAGGCTCATTCTGGCAAACACTCCTCATCGGAGGCACTGCACACTTAGCGGTCCCACCTGTCATGACACATGAGACTGGTGTGTCCAGGTCCTGATCCCTCTGTGGGGAAGCCTTCAATCAACCTTTTACTTACTGCCCTTAATAGAAGGACTCCTTGTACCAATTAAGTAAGGGTGGGCTACAGCTTAGTGGCAGAGGGCACTTGCCTAGCATGTGCCCAGGCCTTAGGTTTGATTTATTTATTAGCAAACAAGTAAATAAAACCAGACCAAATTCACAGCCCACCAGCAACTTCCACCACAAAATCAAGTCCAAAGTTTTCACCAGGCCAGGTCCCTGTCTGCCCCTACTACCCTCTCCCCACCTCCATGCATTCCAGCCTCTCCACCATTTATCATGCCAGCTCTTGCTTACTTCCTGGCCTTTGCAGTAGCTGTACCCTCCCCCACAGGGCTCACCAGTTTCCTAAGAGCCTTGGGGAGGCCTTCCCTAGCCATCCTCTCCAAAATGGCACTTCTGCTCCTTACTGTTTCCTCTCCTGCTTTATTTTTCATCAAAGCCCATCACATTCTGGCAGATATTTTTTGTGATGTTTCTCTTTCTTTAAAATGGGAATTACTGAGGGCTGGAGAGATGGCTCAGTGGAATAAGCGCTTCCACGGCAAGCGCAAGGGCCTGAGTTCAATCCCTGGCTCTGAAAACAAAAAAGAGAGAGAGGAAAAATAAATAAATAAATAAAAATAAAATGGGAATTATAGGGTCTGGGGAGATGGCTCAGTAGAATTAGCACTTGCCTGGCAAGCGCAAGAGCCTGAGTTCAATCCCTGGTTTGGGGGGGAGTGGATAGGAATTGCATACGGGGGACTTGTCCTACTATAGAAGATCCAGCCCTTAGCACAATGGACATTTCTATCTATCTGCCTTTATTTATTTATTTACCAAGGGTCAAAGCCAAGGTTGCTGTACCACTGAGCTACACTCTGAGCTTTTTCCTTTTTTTTTTTTTGGTCTCAAACCTTGCAATTGACCTGCTTCAACTTCCTTCAGTTCTAGGATTACAGGGATACACAACACATCTGGCTTCCTTTTTAAAAAATACATCTCTAGGGGCTGGAGAGATGGCTCAGTGGTCTAAAGCACCTACTTAGAACAAGCTTAGCAAAAGCATCAGGGACCGCGGTTCAATCCCCCAGCACCACATGCC